GGGGTGAGGAAGAGCCGTTACAGGAGGATCTAGTAAACAAGATAGGGTTAGATATGTATTTGACAACCCTGTACGATCTTGGCCCACCAAATGCCAGAACTTTTTCGAGAGTAAAGGGTCGGAAGTCAACGTTGTACGCATGTGCTCGCTTCAGTTCCCAGCACATCCAACAGTCTCTCTCCACTTCATTTCAGCGCCCTTTATCAGCTCTTTCCAACCTCTGGTTCCTCAGAAAGGTTCTTAACCAATTCACCAAAGGGTTTGCTCCTCCTCGTTCTGGATGTTTGATCTAACCTACGGAGATGTTGGATACTAGTTCCAATGATATCTGGCTTTCGATGGCTCCTGTTTTTGGTGTTTGTTGTGAGTGGCTCAGAATCGATCAATGTAGGGTCTTGTACGATGTAGATAAGGTCGTCCTGACCCTCAGCATGATTCAGCCCGCTGATGGTAACTCCACTGTAGTCGCTGAGGACTGCATTCAGGCCATTGACGAGCGGTGTGTAGCGGCCCTTCTCTGAGCCGTTCTCTAACCTAGAAGAAAGTATTGAAATGTGCAGGGCAGCTTCGAGCATCGAGACCAAGATACCAACATTTTCGCAACGTTTGTCTTCAGTGGCTTTGCCTTCTCGCTGTTGCAATACTTGATCCCTTCTTTCAACAGCTCGAGGAAGGTCTTGTCAACCCACTCGCCTTCGGCTTTGGATGCGGAAGCCCTCCTCTGTTTCGGCCTCATTGAGGCCTGCAAATCTTTGCTCCGTTTGAGGATAGCTTTCAGCATGTCTACAAAGGGCACCTCCTCTGGGGTCCGCTTCAGGTCCTCCTTTACCACTGCGATATTTCCTTGCCTCCTAGAAGGATACATCAGACAAGGGCAACAGTTGGGTAGCAAATCCCTTACGTTCCGTTCGTCTTATCCCTCGAAACACTCGCAGTGCCCGTGCCAAACGGTGTCGAGCGGCTTGTCGGGGGACCTGTCGCTAAAGAGCTGGGCTCAGGTGTACGGGCACGCACAGTGGCTCTACTCGTCCTCTTAGGGCGACTGATGTCCATAATTCGGATTCCCACTGAGAGATGGATGAAGGAGGAGTTAACAACAGCGATGTGACTGTATCGAAGCGTAGCCTAGGTGTTGGTCGTTAAAGCGAAAGTGAGGCGAAGTTGACAGGCACTTGCTGTAAATGACTTCCAACCGCACCACGCGACCTCCTTCATCAGAAATGCGGAAGCAGTTGTCAAACTGATGAGCGCCCACTGCGCAAAACAAAAGACATTTGACAACGAAGGTTGCCCCGATTCGACAAAGATCTCAGTGTCATTGTAAGCTTGTTGAATGTAACAGTTGCCTGGGCTACTGCCCGTGAATGGCCCGTCGTCAATAAACTGAGCCGGGCTGAGTATTTTAAGCGCCCGTTAATTGATCGAATCAGATCGATTACATCAGTTTCCACCCTTCCACAGCTTTGAACACCACTTAGCATCGAATCTTGGTTCAAACGGGTGGAGAGAATCGAAGATCTACACCCGTCGCGATGGCAGTATCCAGCTGTGCTAGCAAGCCCGTTTTCTTCGTCAACATCTACTTCCTTTTAGGAATCGACCACAATTGCATGGTCCTGTAAGATATGGCACGTCCTTGATACCTCAGATCACACGAGACATCAGTGAGTCCCTATACTGGGAACACAAGGACATCTACGAGTGAGCAAGGTAGGGTGATTGTAGTGTCAGGGATAAGGTACGAGGAAGGTGACGGCTCACCAGCTACTTAGGCGCAACGGCAGCCTCACGATAATTTTAAAGCAAAGACAAATAGACCCTAATGAGTGTCTTCGTGGCAGGGCACGAGGGTATCCCTTACAAGTCCCCAGCACAGGCTTTCGCAAAAAAATAATGTATATCTTGATGCTGCTAATGGGGCCTGCTCCTAAACTGCCGACGCTGGGTCAACTATGGGCTCGTGCCATCATGGAGCCTTGCTTTCATGGCCTAGGTCGAAACCCATCACAAACTGTCTTTCTTTTTTAGACTACAAAGCAAAAGATGGAATGTACTTATGGTTCTAGGAAGCCATCTAGCACTTAGCTACTGCCTTTCTTCCGCGTCGTTTTTACCTTGACAAAAGCTCCCTGAACATCCTCCTGGTATCCTCGACTTTTAATTTCCCTTTCCACCCTTCGTCTGGACTAAGGTTCATAGGATGGAGTACGCTGTTTGTCTGAAATGCAGTCAGGGTTCCTCGTTTCGACCTCCAATATCACATGTTTTCTTTTCGAGGCCGGCAAAGACCGTCCGATGACGGGTCAAATGGCGCAAAAGGGCAAGCGGTAATCTCTTAAATTATAGTCTACTACATATTATCGCACTCTCCGAGTGCGTCGTCGGTGGCCATTGAGAAAGGAATTGTCTCTTCTTCCATGCCTAGTTCCAGGACTTGTCTCCCTCTGTCTCTCCTGAGGATATGAGCGCACCAGCCTCGGCTCTCGATATGAAATCTGACTGAGGAGCTCTTTGCCCCGTATCACAACCGACAAAGGCAGCTGAGGTGTACAATCCTCAGTACAAGAATGACTACTCTGCATAATTGGTGGCTATCATGGCTCGCCGCACTCTTGTGTCCTACAATTGTATTCACCTCAAGGCCCTTTCGCAGCGACGCCTCTTGGGATGTTGTCAGTTCCATTACCCACATCTTATCACTCGCAACAGTTGCTTGCGATCCCCACCAAATTAAAAACATGAGGTGCGCGCGCTGTCCTTGTGGTTAAGCCTGACCAGGTAACTCCCTTCTTTCATTTCTATCCTCCTTCTTTTGTTTATCCCGAGATGCGTGGCGTTTTTAGCTTCTAGACCCCACCCTCTATGCTTGCTGTCACTGCGTCAGCCACAAGCCTACACTCCGGAAGTCACGTTCTCATGTCATATCGACTCTCAATATTCCCTCGTGCTACCACCATTAAGGAAACTCTGAAGGACTGTGAGATGGAGAGGACAATATCTTACACAAGGGAGCAGTCCTTGCTCCAAGTTGCATAGGGATGTGGAGGCCCGCAGATCCGATGCCAACCCATTGAATTATGCTGGCCTACCGATTGAAGAGCTTAACTGAAGGCAATCAAAAAGGGCTAGTCGGATTAGATTAAAGTGAAGACCCCAGGGACTCTGATTGAGGGCATGCAGGTTTGAAGGGGGTTTGCGTGCAGCACGACGGCTGTTTGGCGTCGTCTGCCTGCTCGTTCACAGCTACTACTGTTGTCGGTGAAACGGGAGGTCGTTGATTAGATAGGGGTCCTTGGTTGAGCGGTGACCCTGTCTGATTTCCCTGCTGTCTTACAGGTAGCACTAGCCCTTGACCGTGGCGTTAGGCGTGCCATAGCGTCTTACCTGCCTCTGTTCCACGATGCTGGTCATTTGTCAGCGACAATTTAGTAGTTAGTTCCCGGTCGATATTTCTAGACGGCACATTTCTTTAACAGCATTTGCCAGCGAGCTCCATTTACTGTGACACCAACACGCATGGAGCGCTTTTACTCTAAAAAACATCAATCTTGGCTCTATTCCCCATTGGCGGATAGGAAGGTAACTCGCCGTGGTGCTCGGTCTTCACACCATCTCAGATATCAGGTTCGAGACTCTGCGTTTTCATTTCGAGAATCGGCTGCGGCCTATGGCAATTTTTGTCTGCGACAGGTGAAAGGCGTTGAAACCGCGATAATGATGCAAGGCAGGTTAACTGCATCGACAGCGAACAGCCCTACGACGTAGAGCGACGATCATGCCCCCTGCCTTGGCCCTACACAGGACAGTCAGGACAGGGCCGTCTCTCTCTCTCGAGTCCGATTTGACTTGTGTGGCACGACGCCGGACGCTCGTTGCGAACCCCGAACGTAGTTTGTTCTGCTGTGATACGTTGGCCTTATCGCGGCGTCCCTCCTCGAGCTTGGCACCGGAGAAATTAATATGGTTTGTTCCTGTCAAGCCATGGCATCCCTTTAGTCTGGCTCTATCACTGCGATGCGATGGTAAACGGTGCGATCTCGCTGTCAGCCGACGGAGTATCTCAACATCGGTAGGGGCGTCCTTGTGCTCTACGATGACCGCAACTAACAAAGGTCGTTAAACACCGAGCACAACACTTGATGATACATTCAAAGATACGATCTATGGATGATAATTATGCGGCCACTGAATCGGCGCCACTCTGCTAGGAGGGCGAGAACCCGGCGCTGTGTACACGAGGGCTGCTGGGATGGGAGTTGGAGCCCCTCTCTTCGCCTCAGCTTCTTGCACCTATCTTCGGGCCTCTGTCCACATGCTACTCGCTTTTCCGGTGACGAGGGAGAGACAAGGCAACCTCGTGTTGAAAGGGCCTTGTCTGCTTATAGACCCGAGGCTTGTTCATCAGTCCGTAAGAGGGCTATCGATCGTCAAAGTCATAGATTACCAGGGATGGTACACACATACATGCCATATACAGCCTTTCCTCAGGGCGTTGCGTAGATGAACATGACTCGGAATTGCGCGCCGGAAAGTATTTTCGTGTCAGCGCTTTCGTCTCCAGACATGAAGCTTTGTTCTCACCATCTTTTTTTTTTTTCACTTTTTTTTCCCTGACAGTTTACCAGAAAATCCTTGTGAAACCGCGGCACGGCTGAGACGATGAAAATGGTAAGCTTGTTCGGCTCCTCGCGATAATCATCACCCAAGCAGATCCTGTCCAGCCTCCAGGCAACAAAAGGGGGTACTTACCGTAAGCGAGCATTAATGGGTGATGATGGTCATTGTTCTTCAACCCCGCTTTGGCAAGTGTGGCGTTGGCTCTTAGGCGCCGAACAGGGGTTACACAGGACGGGAGCTCGATCGTGTGGTGCGATTGTCCTTTGCTAAAGTGCTGAAGGGGCGGCCTCATAATCAAGCTCAGCATTTTGTAAGAGACCTGATATCGAACCAGCTGACGCCCGGCAGCAGGATCTATTGCGCAGACGCTTATCACGCTTCAACCGGCCTTAGCTCAGTTGGAAGAGCATCAGACTGTAATTGGCTTACGTAAACATACATCTGGGTGTCGCCTGTTCGAACCAGGCAGGCCGGACTCTCTTTTTCCATCGCAATCTTCCAGCGTTTTTGTGCTCCCGGTGCTTGATTTGCCGTTCCGCAAGGGAAGAGAGTGCACAGCTTACCGCCGTTTTTGGATGCCGCGTGATGGATTGATGGATCGGCCGGGAGCCCCTGAAGCTTGATACGCCAGGCGCCCAAGCTGCGACAGACTGTGTGAGGAAGTAGTCGAGTCCACGAACCAACGTGAACCGTTGGAGGACCGGCCATTGCCCCCGAGTCTCTGGGAACTCTGGTGCTAGTCAAGCGCACAACCTCACAACCTCAACTGCAGCGTCTGAGGCCTAATACAGCTGAAGCAGATATCCCAGAACATACAACATACGAGCCCCAATCCCTCTGGACCTGGGCTGGATATACTGCTCTGAAAACTGTGGAAGATTTAGCTTTCTTTCGACTTCTCGTCAATCTTTGCGAGCCGATTGTTCAAACAGGAATTTAGTGATATCAGTGGGGGCAACAAATTGCAAGTGGCTCCTTGCATGTAGGATTACTGCACGAGTTGTGTATAAAGGTCGTTCGTATGTACACAATCTACCAGCATGTGATAGAGGGACAAACGCTGAGCGGATACCTATCCAGAGGCCAAGGGTAACGAATCAAGACAACAATCACCCTTCAATCATCTCCCTCCCCCAGGTCTTCCTCAGCGTCAAAATAAGATTCTGGAGAGTCGGAATCGGAGCCATCTTCTGGAGCACCGTCGGTACAGACAGTGGGCTGATACCTCGATGGCTGGCCACAGAACCCTTTTGTGACTCAGATTCGTGCAAAGGTTCAACAATCCCATTGTGGCCGCTAGCCTGCGCCGCCGACATCGCGCCCCTTCCGTCTGTAGTGCTCCTAAATCGAGTCCTGATTGTGGTGCCGACGTTGAGTATATCAAGAAACATGCGAACAACGACTTCATGGCCTCTCTGGGCTGCTGTCGTGAGTGCAGTGTCCCCGTTTTTGTCAAATGCATTGACGTCGATATTATCAGCCATGAGGAGGTGCTCGACAACGGTTTTGTGACCATTACAAGCAGCCAGATGCAGGGCTGTCGACCCATGGTCATCAGCCAGGTTGACTTGAATATTGCCATGCGCCAGTAGGTGCTTGGTAACGCCTTCATGGCCCCTCCTCGCACCCAACATGAGTGCGGACTCCCCACGATTGTTGACCAAGTTGACGTCAAGATCGGCATGCGCGAGAAGGTGCTTGATGACGCTTTCGCGGCCTTCCCTCGCAGCCACCATGAGTGAACAGTTCATCGTAGTAGTAGGTGACCAGATTAATTCGGATACCAGGATACGCGAGGAGAAGCATAACAACGCCTGCGTGACCTTCCCTCGCAGCCACTATAAGTGCGGGCTCCCCGAGAATGTCGACGAGGTTGACCTGAATCTTGGCATGTGCCAGGGGGAGCTTGACAACGACTTCGTGGCCTGCTTGTGCTGCCAGCGTGAGTGCGGAACACCCGTCGTCGTTGACCAGGTTGACCTGAACCTTGGTTTGTGCCAAGAGGAGCTCGACGACACCTTTGCGGCCTTCCCTTGCAGCCAGCATGAGCGCTGAATATCCTTTGGTGTCTACCAAGTTGACTTGGGTATCAGACAGGGAAATGAGGCGTGCAACGAGATCTTCGTGACCAGACCAAGAGGCAACCATCAAAGGCGACTGCCGTCGTATTGTGGTGGTAATGTTTTGGCTACCCTCGATGGTATGGCTGAACAAAGTCAAGGGTAGATGGTAGAGGCCGGCAAGATGAAGGGGAGTGAGGATGTCAAATTGAAGCCTCAAGAAGGCTGGGAAGGCATTGCTTTCGCTAACAAATTGTATCAAATGGCACTTTGTCTTCTCTTCATCAAGCCCCGAAAGAGCATGGAAGGCCCAAGCTTCGGATGCATAGGCAAGTAGGGGGTCGTTCTCCAAAGCAATTTCGAACTCTTGCCATGAGCCGACTGTCGTATTCTGGAAGCCACACTTGATGAGGTGGGTCATGCAGATCGCAGCGAGGAGGGAGTGCGGATGTGGGAATGCCTCGAAGGAGTCCTTCCAGGTATCTTCGGCTGTATAATCTATCGGAAAGTAGGTCAGGACGGGCAAGGAGAGCGCGTTGTGCAACTTACGAACAAGCCGAACGAGGCGACTCTCTTCATCGACAGTAATCAGTCCCCGACACAGAGACATGAGGGTGGTTCTGGGAACAAGCCGGTCAAGCTCGAATTTATGTGTAGTCGGTGAAGTGGCGACGGCGCGCTCGAGTTCCTCTATGGTCATGGATCTCGATGCGTTCAGAACCCAAGCTAAGACAAACTTCGCAAGCGAAGCTTGTTTGTGGCTTTGACTGGCTATTCGAGCCCAAGTGTGGTGATAGACATCCTCGATAGTGGAGGGAAATGCTGCGAGCGTGTCTCGCACATCACGAGCATTCAAGCACTCTGTCAGTGAGACCAACTGAAGAGCAGCGTGAAGAAACCTAATAAGATGACATGGTCAGCGTGACGCCAAACTGTGTAGATGATGAGCCTCTTACATGCCACCACAATTCTGCTTGATCGTAGAAATGATCTCTTCCCTCAGCGAGGGGTCCTCCTTGCGCAAGAGACTACGCAAATCTGCGCTTTGGTTCATCACTTTGGTGATGTGGAGATCGATATTGTCGTCCTGGCTGCGATGCGTAGGGAGTATGCTTCCGGGAAGTTCTCCTCCACGGCTTTGAGGGTCGCGATGTGATGAAGAGTTTGACGTCCAGTGAGGCAAGTGTTTCCACGACCGCCAACTGAATCTTGGTAGGAGCTTCGTCCAAGGCATCGAGGACGTAGAAAGTGCATGCCATGTGATCAGCTAGCTCGCGAAGGAGCCCTAGCAGCTGGGCCTCTGTCGGCTCCGAGCCCTCCCGGATATGCTGCGCGTAGGTTTTTCGATGAGAGGAGCACACTCGGGGTGTCGTTCGAGCGTTTGCTTCACAAGAATCTCGAGGACGTTGCGAACCGTCATTTCTGAGCGGTCGCTGTAGCGGAAGTAAACGTAGCAAACGCAGATGGCGGCGATGGACTCTTTGCGTATGGCTTCAAGATGCTCAATGACAATCGATCTGAGACGAGTCTTCAGCACATGGATGCCGACGAACGGAGGGGTTACTTACGCGAGGAGAGTCTTGCCAGCGCCGGCTACGTCGACAGATTAGATGGGAGGTCACTGTGGATGTATGCCCGACTTACGTATCCCTGAGCCCCAGAAGATCTTGATATTACCGTTGGGCTCCAGCCAGATGCGAAACTTGTCGCCTTTGACAAGCCACATTCCAGTTCCCGCAGTGGCCTTGCTCAGCATATCATGATAGATCCTCCGGAAATTGGGTATCGACTGCAAGATCGCCCATATGTCCCTTGAGCGCTCGTACTGGCTGTAGTGGTTGTGAACAACATGATCACGTCCAGCCACACTGAGAGTCGAGTTTGCAATTTGAAAATTGTGGGCGTTGGAGAACATTGCGGTTGTTCTTGGTGAGAGGGCGTCATTTCCAGTTGCTACGTACTGCTGTATAAGATTGATAGTCAAGTATTGGGTTGAAATAAACGCCTACCCCCGCTGGTCCCTACAACGGAATACTCTTGCTCGACCTGTCATATGCTCAGTTGCTATTTGATACTCAGAATGGAAGTACGCACATTTCTTGTTAGGTTCTGGGCCATCGACAAGCGCCTAGAGAGATGCAGCCAGGCAGAAATTGAATGTGGAGGTAGAGGGGCAAGCCGCAAGAGCTGTCTGTCGCTCACACTCGCCCAGTGATGGCGATGACAGCAGTCACACGGACACATTTCAAGAATAGAACCGATAAGCGCCTAAGATAAGTACAGTAATAGACCGGCCGGTGATACGGGATCATCCGGTGATACAGTGACCATCTTTCAGCGATTGTGCAAAGGTCGCTGGAGCTAGTCCTTAGATTTCTGGAGGGTATATACAGCGGTACGATAACTACAGTTTGAAGTCTTCATCGCGCTATAAGTCCTTGAGATGGGCCCTGTATCGCTCGATAATACCTCTGATGGAGCCCTTGATCGAACCAAAATACACGACTGTTTGAGCCTTTGCTCATCATTGGACAAAGGAGATCACTCAATTTTTTACCCGAATGTAGCCCTCAGCTTTAAGAGCCTTCTGAAGTTACTTGAAGGGATAGAATTGTGTTTTGGTCTCGAAACTTGCTCGTGCAAAGGACGTGTGATACGATATGCCGGAGAGCGCGACACAGCCACGCCCTGCCGATGATGACCCACAGGCGAATGCGCGCCTGAGTAAAAGGATAGATTTTGCTTCGTCCACTGCTCAGATGTGCCAAAGACCGCTACCCAGGCCTCATAAGGACGCTAAACGTACCTTACAGCAAGTTTGGGAAGGATAGGAGAACAAATGGAGGGATGACGAGGGGAACTGTGCGAGCAATAAAGGCAGGAGGTGAAATAAATCACACGCCTGTCACGGTGTATCAACGGCCGGTCCAGTCAGTTTTTGGACCTCCCGAATCTCAAAGTGCACTGCTGCTCATTGAAGCAGCTATTAGCTTAGATTTTGGTACATATTGTGCATAAGATACTCGAAATTGTGTGTGATTAGTTTTCTTTTGCTCAACGCTTGGTGGTACTCTTCCACGTTTGAAATACCTGAAAGTGTATCACCGGCCGGTCTATTACTGTACAGCCTTGGACTAGCGCTTATCTTTACCCCAAACTTCGTATGTCCAAGTTTTCAGCGTCAAGCACGTAAAAAATGGTTAGGTCTCCAGATTGAAGGCCTGCGTATCACGATGCTACAAGAAATGGGCGACATCCTCAATCCTCAATCCCTTCCAATGAATTTCGAAACGGTAACGCACAACATCATGTCAAAGAAGGTCGTAGAGAATTGAACAAAAATCTATGTATGCATGAGTACGAACAAAGATTATACATGCGTGATATATACTAAACGAGCGTGGTCTGTCAAAAG